CTTATGAGTCTCCAGGCAGTAATCAACTCTGTCCTTTGGGATTTTCCTTTAGGAACTCAAGTATTCTTTTAAAGAATAAAAGGTGGAGGAAATAAGGCCCCTCCACGGTCTACTCAAGTCCCTGCTTGCTGATGGGGACCAACATCGACTTTCTCCTTCCTACTTGCAAGCCCTTCTGAAGCCCTTGCAATGTCCCCAGCAGTGCCCTGAGTAGTCAGATTAAAGGCCAGGGGATATTGGTGGTTTTCATGGAGACAGCTTGGCAATTAATCGTCTCCATTTTGTGCTCTATCCAACAACTTATACTGTTCATTTGATTCTCCTAGTGAATATCTGATGGTTTGTTATTTCAACCTCAGGCAGTAACCTCACACTAAATATAGGTGCTACTGTATTAGTGAGAAGGCAACAAATGCTGTAAAGATTTGCCCCAATCTGACCCAGGGGAATGCTGTGTTAGACTCTTTTTGACAAATGTATAATTAGGTTTTAATCAATGCCTTTTTTATTCATCAAAGATGTTAAAGTTGAGTTACAGAGCTTTAACAAATGAAATATGAGACCTTTAATAGTCTTTTCTTTGTTCTATATTACAGAGCAAGAGCTGTAGATTTTCTGCAATGCAGGAGAAAGGGAGTTTACCTTTTAGGGTTGCTAAAGGTTTTGTAACAACAACAGCAAAAAAGGCACCACCTAAAAAGAGCATCAACACCAAATGTCCAATATAGGGATTCATTTACCATTTCTGCATCTAATATCAAAACGCCAGGGCACTCATTTAATATTCACTCAGCAAATATTTCTTAAACATCTACTATTAATATTTGCCAACACACTAAAGATATTATATTGCACTTCTAAAACAAGGGGAGACACATTTGATAATTCTTTAATAAAGCATAGTCAAATTCATATTGAGCACATTAACATGGGAGATAAAATGAGTGGTAGAAGGGTCCTTGCCCTCTAGAAGCTTACTTAAGTGGAGGAATGTGCAAATCACGACAAGGGACACACCGAGTGTCTGAATATAGGTCTAGCGAGCGCAGAGAAAGAATCAATCAACATTGATTCAGCAGATTAAAGATGACTTTGTAGCGGAATTGGCATCTGAGGGCCTTCAAGATGAGCAGGAATACTACTGGTGGAAAGGGAGAAGAGGGAATTCCAGGCAGAGGAACCCACATAAGCAAAGGCCCAGAAACATGGCAGTTCAGGACGAAGGGCAGAGGCAGGGAGCAGTCCTGTGAAGCAGAGCCACAGTGAAAAAGGATGATGCTGGTGGGTGGTGGTAGCAGGAGGGGGCATGGAGGTTGGCTGGGACCATACTGTGAAAAGCAAGGAGTTTGTGTACAGGCATCTTGGGGTGATATCTTCTAGAATGTTAATTCTGAAAGCAATGAGGAAGATGACTGGGAAGGGTAAGGAAATAGGTATATATATGTGTGTGTGTGTAGTGAAGGTGGGTGGGCATTATGTTTCCTTTTTTCCAAGTAATGTTGGAGTAATTTCACTAATTGAATATAGGTAATTGAAATTTTTACAAGAATTAATTTCTCATATTGCTTAAGTAGAATTTATTCTGAACTATCAGGTACATGATCCTTTTTTTAAAAAAAGAGAGAAAATAACATTATTTTCTTTCTATTATTAATGTAATACATGTTAACTTCAAAGTAAGCATGTGACGCACATTGGATGAAAAATGATGGTAAAAATGAATCACAATCACACCAGGAGAAAGAAACATTTGTTTGTATGTGACTCTAAATTTGGCTTCAATTCTGCCACCTAGAACTAGGCATTGAATAAGACTGATGATGGATAGAGTAATTTAGACAAATGGGGCCAAGTTCATTTTAGGCAGAAGTGAGTAGAGCAACTTTGGCCTTACCCTGTGCAGTGAAACTTCCCAAGGAAGACACTTATTGTTATATTATGATAATTATAAATTATTTACCATTATTTCAAAAAATGTGCTAAGTACTATGAAAAATACCGTTGGAAATTGTTTTATATTTTGCAATATACACTTATTTACCACTTATTTTCTGCTTTGAAGCAAAAATGAAAAAGTGCAAGTAGTAAAAATGAATTCCTTCAACCTTCAATTACTGTCAAGTGGAAAATCAAGTACTAAAGAATGGTAAACTTTTCTTCATTAGTTCAACAACTTTTTAAGAAATACCAGTTATATGTACAACACTGAAGATAAATTTATCAGTGAACAAAACATAGGTTTTGGTGTCTGCATGCTTGGAACTCACGATCTTACGTAGCTTATCAAGATATTCTTTCTCCCTGCTCTCTGGAATAGAATTCTCACCCATTTTTCAAAGTCTAGTTGCATTTTCCCATTTCCATGAAGTACTCTTGTACTGTTCTGGCTCCTACAGGTTTATTCCTTCTCTGACATTCCATAATTCTTAGAGATGGTGCCATTATCATACAATTTTGGTTATATGTCATCAGGAACTGATCTCTATTAAATGTATCTAAGTCTCTTTTCCTGAAGGAGATAAAAAATTCCTTAAAGACAAAGACCTGGGATAGGGGTAAAAGTGGAATTTTCTGAATATCTAGTAATATTGAGCAAGGCATCTAGACTATTCATGATAAAAGTATTTGAATGTAAGTGAAAAACATTTTTTGCAGAATGCCTGGTTCTTGACCATGTTACAAGAGATGTCAATAAAATTTGTCTTAGCATGAATACCTCACAATACTGGTGCAAATTAAGGGGACTTGGTGAGAATTTCCTGATGGAATCTTATGGTATACTCTTCTTTTCACTTGTTATTTTAAAGGCATATTGATCATTATTTCTTAAATATGCCATATAATTTACATGTCCCTAAATGACCTAAACAACAATCCAATCAGTTTTCCATTTCAAACAACAGTTAAATTAAGCTATATTAAGCTAAATTAAGTTAAATTAGCAATAGTTAAATTCTTCTCCCTTTGCAAAGGGAGAATGATTGCTTGATGTTGCATTACCCCACTTCCAATTGATTTAAAGCCATGACAGATTAGAATGCAGTTAGGCTATTAAAATAGGGAAGTCATTCCGTGAGTCTGATTTGTACTTTTGCATTTTGAAATACTAAGCTTGTTGCTGTTATTTGCAGGTATCTTTAGAAGCACTTTAAACATCAATTTATTTGATTTATAAGACATGCTTTGAACAGGCATCTTGATAAAGTACAGCATAGTATCCAAAGTGAGTATATTGCTTAAAGGAAACAAAGCTGTAAGGAAGCTTAAGATGAAGATGTATGCTGATAGAACTAGGACATGCTTGTCCTTTACTGTAACTTTTAAAGCTTGTAATCATTCTGTTCAAGGTTATTTGAATGACTGTCTTCACTATCAAGAGCTTCTAATTGGTGTAACTATGGTTCTGACCATCTTATCAGTCTCCAGAATTGTTTGAGATGAAAGTTTTCAGAAATGGGAAAACAGCGATATTTATGCCTTGCATCAGATTATGGTGTAGGGCATAGAGTTTGAGACCCAAAGATAACAGCTATCAATAAAATGGAAGAATCCCATGAACAAGTTCTTACTCTATATGTAGTAGAATTTGTGCATCAAATTGTGTTAACCCAGATCTTTTTCATTTTCTGTTTTACAATGGGTACTTTGGAGCTGTTTATTCCTATTAGAAGACATATCTACTAATTTTTAAGAAGTAGAAAGACTTGTCATAACTGTCTGGGAAGAGCATGTTTCCTTGGTGCTGTCATCGTCCATCTTTGACAAACACAAATCCCCTCTTCCCAGATGGCTCTCTGGCCATATCTGGGCTAGGCCAATAGAAGAAAGCAATTAATACTTTTTTTTTTTTTTTTGGTATAACTTAATTGCAAATTCTAATTCTAAAGTCAGGCAAAGTGAAAGTGACATACCAAAACACAAAATGGCAGAACGTTTTCTTTATCCTCTCGTAAAACATGTGGCTGGCCACCATTAATGGTAAAACCTAAGATGTCACAGGAAAGACACAAACCTCAATCTTCCAAACATCAATAGACAAACTGTTGCTAAGAAAGAATCATTTGAAAAGGGCAAAGAAGCTCTTTATGCATGTGGGTGCACAAAGGCTCTTCCTTGAAGGTCCCTTGTACTTTCATATTCATCTGTTAAATTCTCCCCTCTGCTAGTCATGTAGACCAAAAACAATTAACTACATTTCTTGAAGACAGAACCATATTCCTCTTCTTTTTTTTTTTGTAAAGTCTAGTCCACAGTGATATACATAACTACATTTCTTTAACAAAAGAGCAATTTATATATATAAATTTGCTAAGAACTCAATTCCACAGTAAGTAACATCCCAGTTGTCTCACTGATCCTCATTCTGATCACAGAAACAGATGTTGAAACCAATCAAAAAGCAGGTTTGGCTAATCTAATTTAGAATATCTCTTCAAATCTCAATTGGCTAATTCAACTTATGACATCTCACCAAGTCTCAGGGTTTACAGTGATGTATTCCAAACAAGGGATAGTGTGGCAGAAGAGACAAAAATAAAATAAAATAAAATAAAAATTCCACATCAGGGACATCCAAAAACCACATTAGTGTTAATAAGAGTAAGTCAATGCCATAAGGAGAGACTATGGTCTACTGATCATGGTCTATTTCTGTAGATGAGATCTCTTCCCCTTGCTTCCTAAATCTTAATTGCTTTTATAGTATCCACTGCTGACCAAAGGTGTATACCAGACAAGAATATAAATGAAATTAAGCTGATGCTACTTGTTATTTGCTTAAATTCATATTTTCAAACAGGCCTTTCTAACTATTGGATGTTTTCCTTGGAATTAAGGGTAACAAAGTCTCATGTTCTTTGGACATAAACCACGAATTTTTCGCCATGGATTGTTTTAAAAAATCTTGTTGGTGGTGACTGGTTAATACCAGTGATCAGAAATGCAGGCACCCATTCACACAGAAACACATCAGAACATTGTAAGTTTGAGTTCTCACTGACCTTCAGGTTGGTACTGTGCTATAATCGTCACCGTCTGTCCAGCCCCCTTTAGTGCTGCAGCAGCCTGTTCATGGGATGCTCCACGAAGGTCAATGCCATTCACCTGAAAGAGAGGAAGCCGGAGAATTTTGGTATTTCATAAAGCATATTATTCTGACAGACAGAGGGAAAAAGTTTCCCAAAACTGAGAGGCTAAGATTATGTTACCTGCCTCAAAACCCTTCATGTTCTACCCAGGCATTTGAGTGTTAACCTATCAAATTTCATGCTCTTGATAACTTTAGTTAGCAGAAACATGAGATTTCACCTCGGACGTTTGTGCCATGGTCTGAATGGGTTGAAAGTTTTGTCTACCCATGTCCAGTAAGATTTTAGTGTGTGCATTTAATATACTTCTATGAGTTTCCTAGATTTCTGGGTTAGATAGGAGCCTTCAAAATTAGAAGGAAAACAGGATAATAAAGAAAGACACATGTAATGTATGTAGACAAGTACGTGCTGACAGAATAATATATTCATATGAGATTCTGGGGAGACTGTATGGAATGGGGCTGGCTGCCCGCCAAATCCCTCTCTTTGGTCATATGCCTGGTCCTGTCATCCTGAGCTTGGTTAGACAGCCCTGAGCCTTGGTACCAAAATTAATTTGACTGCCTCATTTCTTATGTACAATTCCAGAATGAATTGTGACAAAATGAAATAGAGAATGCCAGGAGTTTATGTCGCTCTTGCTAACTCCCATTTTGGGGCCCTTGCCAAAAGAGAAACAGAGCATCTAAAAAATAAGCACAAAACTCTGCCGAGAGGGAAAAATCACCCTGAAAAACTTAATGAGATGCAAAAGCTAAAATCTTTCTCAAATCAATTCAGTCTAAGCCAACACAATGTAATTACTAAGTGCTTTCCAATGACAGGGCTCTGTGTGAGCCCAGGAGAGGGATGGTGGATGGGGATCAAAGGTGAACAAGACAAGCCTCTAAGAAGCTTTTCAGTTTCAACTGAACACACAGAGTCCAGTTTTCCAAACGACACAGCTGATATCTGAATTCTGTTTCCTTTTACTTCCAGGGAAGATGGCTATGGAACATGAAAAAGAATAAAAGAACTGATCAGCTTATCTACACATAAAATATAGAATCTTATTTCACTTCTCATCAGTCTTCTTTGACAATGATATTGAGGGGTGGATGGGGGTTGCCACTGAGTTTTCCCTGTCAGGCCTGGAACATCTGTAATCTTTAAGCCCACAAGCTGGTCCTCTCATAATAACTTCGTTAAAGTCTCCTTATTCACTTTTACTAATTTTATGGCTTTCTATTCTGGTGAAAGCATTGATTGGCTTTCTATGTTTACTGAGGGCTTTGATTACATGGTAACACTGGGAAGTCCACTGAGTGAACCTGGGTCTGGCTGGGCCACTCCTTACTAGCTGAGTGACAGTCATATCACCTCTCTGAGCCTCTATTCTCTCCTGCCTCAGGGAGAAGGGACTGTTAGGCTCTTTGAGTCTAAAACCTCTTTGAACTATAAAATCCCAGATTTAATCCTTATTAAATGACAGTCATTTCAGAGACTGTCTAGGTGTCGATGAGTCAGAAGTATGACTCAGAGAGCCAGAAGAGACAGGAAAAGTAATTTGATCTAGGCTCCTGCCTACAGGAAGCTGAATGCACAAACGTCACGGGCTGAATGACCTCTTCTTTTGTCAATTAGACTTAACTTTTTATTAAGAAATAATATGTGACCATGGTAATGAATTCTTATGTTTCAGAAAGGTGTAAAAAGAAAAGTAAAAAGTCCCCTCACCATCTTCACTCCCAGAAGTAACCAGCATTAGCAGTTTCTAGTGTATGCTTTTTAGAAATCTGCTATATGCAGGTGCAAGCAGGTCACTTTATCACGATTTGTTTCTTTCTATTTTATATTTTAATATATTATTGACTTTTTCTTTAAACAGATAAGATCATATCATATATATAGTTGTATAACTTGTTTTTGTTTAGCTTTTCACTTAACAATCTATTGTGGTCATCATCCAATTCAGCTCATATCATTTAAACGTTTAACAGGAGCCTAGTATCCCATGGTATGGATGTACCAGTATTTTTTCTGTAGGATCCCTTCTGATGAGGTTGAGGCTGTGTCTAGCTTCTTACTATTAAAAATACTTATGGGGACTTCCCTCGTGGCGCAGTGGTTAAGAATCCACCTGCCAATGCAGGGAACACGGGTTCGAGCCCTAGTCCAGGAAGATGCCACATACCACGGAGCAACTAAGCCCATGTGCCACAACTACTGAGGCTGCATGCTGCAACTACTGAAGCCCGCGTGCCTAGAGCCTGTGTTCCGCAACAAGAGAAGCCACCACGATGAGAAGTCCGCGCACCCCAACAAAGAGTAACCCCCGCTCACCGCAACTAGAGAAAGCCTGTGCACAGCAACAAAGACCCAACGCAGCCAAAAATAAATAAATAAATAAATAAATTTATTTTAAAAAATTCTTATGAAGGTGTTTCTGAAGGATAAATTCCCTGGAAATACACTTCGTAAGGTAAAAAATATATGCATTATATTTCTTTTTTTTTTTTTTTTTTT